AAATATAATCCTTTTTATTTGTATGCAAGACAGATCAACAATCAGATACAATTTTCATTGTAAGGTAACTGATAAAAAAAATATAAAGAAAAAAAGATCATATAGTGTTCTTAAAAACACCATATTATTATTATCATAATAGGTATATTATATCGTCATAATCTTAAGAGAGCATACTATGGCATAAGAATATGGAGAAAAATAATTAGGGGAGTTGGTCTGGCATAGTGGTAACATGTGATTGGAAATATTTAAAGTAATTCAAAGTAATTTATTTATAATATCTTCATAATTATTATTTATAGCTAACCTCTAAAAAAAACACAAAAAAGGCCCCGGCGAGATTCGAACTCACGATCTCCTGTTTACTAGACAGGCGCTTTAACCAACTAAGCCACGGCGCCGTTGACACCGTTTTAGTTTGCAGTGTTTGTACAGTAACTAACAAGATAGTAAGCTAACAAGATAAATTAATTTTGTTTGTGTAGACATTAAAATATAATGCGAAATGAAACCAAACTATCGGAGAGGATCACAAAAAATCCAGAGGGATGTTAAAATATGATAAAGAAGGTTTAGGTAGGTATTCAGGGAAGAAAGTATATCAAATAAGCTTGATTAAAGAAAGGATATCACAATACAATTTGAAGAAATATCGCTTGCATTATTAGAGATACTGCAATTGAAATCAGTGGCTGCCCGTATGTTTTTTAAAACTGCTCCCCTATCTTTGGGACCAATTAAAACGTTTGTGACCTTATCACAGAAATTAGGAATTTGTTTTATTACTTTTGTTGAGTTTACCGAAAGTATAAGCTGATTATATATGTAAATGTCAAACATGGAACAAAAAATTTCGGTTTAGCATTTCGGTTGGCATGTTTTTATAATGTAATTGCTATTCAAATATATAAAGAGATAAACCTTTGGAAAAGTACATTTTGATTATATTATGTTATGAATGCTGCAATTTTTGATTTTTATAAAACAAAATGAGTACCTAAATATTTGTTTCTTTTGCAATTTATTTCATTTAATTATTAGAAATTTTTTGGCAACTGCCCTTTGATAGATTGAAGGAATAGATTTGACAATCTTCATATTAGCAGTCACCAATTTGCATCATATGTTTGCAATTAATCTCGAAAGAAACAAATATTTACTCTCTTTCTCTCTTTATATTTGAAGCATAGGTACAACATATCTATGCATTATAAAAACATCCCAAGACTGCCAAACCAAAATATTTTTTTTCATGGTTGATATTTGCATCTATAATTAGCTTATACTTTCGGTAAATTTTATCATTATTTTATTTTTAATCGACAACAATGGCAATGCTGGGTCAATGGTACTGTAAATTTAAAAGCACGTATTAGAATTCAAAAACACTTTTCATTTTCTGCAGTTGCCATTGAAAAAGTTGCTAAAAAATAGTAATAATTCATACGTTTCTGAAAATCTTTCGTTCAGTTTTCTTTAAAAAATTTACCAAAGCTTTTAAGGATTCCATATCGTCTTGTTGCTTGTTTGTATGAAACATGGACGTATAAAACATCTGTGTTTATACGTCCATGGTATGAAATATTAAATTCATGTCAAAAACAACACAGCAATGAACGCTAATATGACAATCATTTTTGGTAAAGGCGGCTGTAATTTTTAAATTATTTTAATCAAACGATTGAGTCAATCGATTGACGGGCCCTTCAATCTTTTGATAAAAACTCAGTGCTTGTGGTGCGTTTTTATGAAGCAGTACAGTGCAGGGGCTTTTTCAAATGTAGATTTATTCTTTCTTGTCTGCCCACTGGTTGCCCTCAAGCAAAAGAAACAACTAAAAAGGAAACTGGAGTGGTCTAAGGAGTGGTATAAAATAAAAAACTATTTCACTCATGAACATATACTCAACTTTCTGTGAGAGTCAGAATCAAAAGACTACAAAATCTTTTTAAGAATACATCAAGAGAATTTAGGTTATCTATTGGAGTTAGTACTGCCCCAAATCGAGAAGAGGGATACAAATATACATGAAGCGATTTCTACAAGTCAGAGACTTTCTATCACATTGAAGTATCTATTATCTGACGTAGATTTAGAAGACCTAAAATTCACGTGCGCAATTGCTATTCAAACTCTGGAACTAATCATATTGACAATTTGGTCAGCAATTATCGGGAAATTAAAGAAACATTCAGGTAAATATTTTTGTATTAAATTTTTGATAATTTTAAGTAAAAAAGAGTAAGTTACAATAATTTAAGGCAGGAGACTTTACGTCATCAGTCATTTCATGCTCTCGCCCTAAATACGACGTAGTAGGCAAATGGGTTTCACTTGTGCGAGAAGTGTACATTAGTGGTGCTGAGTTGGAGTAGCGTTGCCAACTATTATTGGAATAAGCTGGTGATATTGGCGAAGATGACCTAAAAAGATACGTTTTAAACTGCACTCTTTTCCTTGACAATCTATGCATTTCTACTTCAAAAAGCATATCATTTATATTTTCTCTACAAATGTCTTTGGTCTGGAGGTAACTTTTTTAATTTTACATCTCACCTCTAACTAGTATGTTCACAAAGCGTTTTTTTTTTCTTAGCTGGCTTACCTTTACTAAGGAGAGCTGGTTTGGAAGAAGGTGTAACATTGCTAGGAGACGTTACACTTTCGGAAAATAGTTGTGGTTGCCAGTCTTCATAAAGGATCAGCGTCTGTAACAAAACTTAAACAAATAACTGAATTTAAGATTACCTGATGTTCTTTTTTTGTTTAAGGTTCCGAAATTGCAAGATGGATGCAAAGGCGTTGCAAAAGCATTTAAAAAACAATGTAGTTTGTTGCCAATACAAAAATCTCGCAATTCTGGATCGGATATTATAAATACAAAGGTTCATTCAGAATTGTACTTAGCGTTATATCGATGAAAATTATAAATTTATGATAATCGATGTGGGAGCAAATTACCAAGTGTCAGGTGGTGGTGTAATGAAGAACTCATTGTTTTGGCGCAAGTTGTCTTAAAACAAACTTGATATGCCTGATATTCGTAAGCTACCAGACAGTCCCAAAATATTTGTCCAAACATAAAAAACAAGGTAAAACATAAGTAATACCATGTTTAAAGTAGAAAGTATTGAAATAAGCTGGTTAATTAATTAAAATATTTAACTAAAAATAGAAATATGTAATTTTGAATAAAATTAACAATTGATTGGCATAACTCATAAATTATTGTCAATTCAGAAAGAAGTTCACGTACCATTTGTTGAAATGTGTTAGTTGGCATGCAGCGAGAACCGCATATAAGATCGGCGGCAACGAAACTGAAGCAATGGACGTGGCACCACTGCGAAGAGAAGTGACATATTAAACGCTAGACTCGTATCATCATTTCTAGTACATGTTAATTAATGCGTACTGCCCGGATCAATCACGACGAAACAATCCTCTTACGTAGGTTGTCGGAGGATATTTTCAAGCGAAAAACCGTAAAAATTAAAGCTTTTGTATTAGGTGTTCATACTAATTTTGAAATGCAATAAATCGGGTAAATTCCTTAAACAGTTGATCTTTTAAAATCGTTTTGTGCTTTCAGGGTTAAAATTAATAGTTTTCTGAAAACATGTAAAGATTTAGACAAGTGGTTTCTCAGAACTTGACAAATATAAATTATCATTGGAATGGAGAAAGGGAGCGAATATATTGAGACAGAATTTATCAAATCACGAGACGAATCATATTTTCGTTGGTATTGGTCCGATTGAGCGTGTTAAATGTTAAATGAAAGGAGAGAAAATAACGAATATATTAAGATAGGAAAAACAAATATGATGGCTACCAAAAGGCCACTATATAACATCTTCATTATTCGTCAACGTCTAGCGACATGCGTGATATCAAAGAGCACTATGAATAAAAATAGATTTACTACAAGACAAATTTTGATTAACTGATTTAAAGAAGTCTTCTGCCTAAGTACAAAATAAACAACTGATCGAATCCTAACATGCTATGTAGTAAGATAAAAAAAAACAAACATGGCGACCACCAAAAGGCATTACACAGCACCTATGAACGTATACCGACATACTAAATACTTTTCCGAACAAAATAAGTAACACATGTGTTGTAGACGATATTAATGGTTAGGTGTCAAACAGGAAAAACGTGTGGAATGAACATAGAGCAGAATGGAATAAAGAGCATGGTAATAATAGCTAGAAATAAATATACAAAAGGTAGGAAAAGTATAGGCTAACCCCAAACAAGATAGAGTGAAAATTTGAAAATTGATGCAGGTTGATAAGGTTTTAAAAGAAAATTCGTCTACAATAAAAAAGAAAGAAGAAGAAGATGATTAAGGCCAAGAGTATATTCTGGCTGGCAAATCTAAGGAAATGGTTTGTTTTAACGTCAACTGATCTCTTTCGAGCTGCAGTAAATACAACAAAATTGGTCAATTTGATCGTTAACATCATAAGAAGATAGACAACTTTAGAAGACGAATATCTGTCCCTGTCTCTTGAATTTTATATATTTTTGTAGCATAATGGTATCTTTTATTATAAATATTAACTTAAATAACCAACTCTAGGAAAAAATGTGAAATTTTTAAGATGAATTCGTTTAATTATATACATCAAATTAATATAATTAAGTTTCTGTTTCACCTTAGACAGATGAACTGATAAATACTGACAGATAATAGTTTTAAATATTACTATTGGTTCAACCAATGGTTATAATCAATGAAAATACAATTGGCAACAATGCAACTTTTTATCCTACGGCAAAATTTTAATATTCTTTCCTCAGATTGGTGGATTTTATTCCAAAGCACAAAAATAATGCCATGTCAAAGCTTCTACGAGGATATCTTTAACAAGGGTTACCTAAACCGTATAGAGTGTGGTAAATGTTCCCAACCACGATGGCACCAAACAATACATGTTCTCCTATTACCGCTTTCTTGATCTAAATTATTTTCGATGTTGTTTCAGTACCGCCGAGGTGGCTAGTTGAGCCGGTTGATGTCAGTGTGGAACGCAACAGGCATGTGGCTCTCCACTGTCAAGCTCAAGGCGTTCCTACACCGACGGTTATATGGAAAAAAGCAACAGGTAACTACTAACAGATGTCAATTGAAGGATTTATTTCAAAAACAACCAATGTCAAAAAAAAATAAATTTTCAGAAATTAACACAAACTTAATAAACTGATGGCCCCTTAGAGGATTTTAGTAAACTATGAATACCTTTTGTCATCTTAATTTTTATTAAAATTGAAATATTTGTATATTATACAAATAACAAGACGTTATGTGGTCATATTTAAAGCCTGCTAAGTAAATAATTAAAATTATTATGGAGCTTTTTCATTAAGGGGTCCATCATAGGCACATTTCCCATACATATACTATAATGAAACGATTATTAAAATATGTGGAAATCACCAAACCGATCCATCAACTTGACTTTAAAAGCGAGAACCTGAGCTTTGTCAATTTAATTACATTCTTATTAGCGATATTTAATACAATGTGCGCGAACCTGCTATTTTTAGATTAAAAGCTCTTTCCATGTTTGTGCTTTTTAGTAATGACGTACAGATATATGGACTAAAAAGCTAAAGATAAACCCAATTTGTCATTTTAACTTATAAAACATAAACTGACTAATTTTGTGATCACATATTGCAGGACGAGTTTACATAAACCGCATTTCTAAATTATTGTTAATACATTTTTTAAGTAAAAAACATCACTACACAGAATTGTTAATAATTAAACAAATTAGATTCAAAAAAATACGTCAAATTTAATTTATTTTTATTCGTTTACAGCTAGCAAATCGGGAGACTATGAAGAAGTTCGAGATCACATGTATACAAAATTACTGGGTAATGGTACTTTATTGCTTCAACATGTCAAAGAAGACCGTGAGGGATACTATTTATGTCAAGCAGATAATGGCATTGGTACCGGAATTGGCAAAGTTATCCAGCTCAGGGTTAATTGTAAGTACTTCAGAATTTATTTTTTATAATTCTTATTTCTTCTCTGTATACACTTCTCTTATGACACAGTAGAAATGAATCCGCTTTTATTTCCGTCGTTAGCTGGATACTAGGATGTATACCATTCCGATGGGTTTGAAAAGATATGAAAGCATTCCTGACGTTGGGCCAAAAGACAAATATATCTTCAACATATAGGAAATAACATGTGGGTTTGAACATTGATGTGGATAGTGCTCGGATTTCGAAGTATTCCATAAAGATATTAACAATTGAGGCGGTGGCTAGAATAAGGGTACTTCGACAACCCAGATCTAACGATTAAGAACATTTTTGAGCAGTTTCAAGAGTTGTTTAAAGATACTACTGGGAATAATACAGGACCTATTTCAAGTTTTTCAGAGAAACTTATTTTACGTTCAAAAATCTGAAGAAGACTGACACAAAAGAATCATAATGATGAATGCAGTGTTGATTACAATTTCCATAAAAAGAGACTCAAGGCATATTCCAAGCTAAAAAGTTATTACTTAAGAAAGACAACAGATGATACTTACATTCTTCTGGAATTTAATGATAAAATCTACCGTTGTCAAAGCTCAGCATAAGAAAACAGTTGTATAGAATTAAGATTTAGATGTAATTTAGATTTCCGAAGTGGAAATTGAAACGTCAATAAACGTACTTTAATCTTTCTTCTTCTTCTTCAGGTTCCTATCCGTTTCGGATGTTGGAAATCATATTGGCAATCATAACCTTGCTCGCTGCGGCTCGAAACAGCTCCGTTAAGGTTTTCTTAAACCATGTTCTTAAATTCCGCAGACATGATATTCTCCTTTTACCGGGTCGTCGCTTATATTTGACTTTACCTTGCAATATATACTGCAGCAGGGAGTAACGGTGCTGATTTCTCATAACGTGTCCCAGATATTGCAATTTTATGCGTTTGATCGTAAACACAATCTCTGGTTCCTTCTTCATTTTTCCTAGAACTTCCTTGTTCGTGATCCTTGCTGTCCATGATATTCTCAGCATTCTTCTATAAAGCCACATCTCAAATGCTTCAAGTTTTTTAATAGTGGTGTCTGTAAGCGTCCATGCCTCCGCCCCGTACAACACAGAGAAAACATAGCATCTCAAATGTCTCATTTTTGTATCTAGGGATATGTTGTGACTTTTGAAGATGGCGCTCATTTTGTTAAAGACCGTTCTTGCCTTTTCTATCATCATCATCTTTGGCTTGACAATCCTCTGTGGATCTTGGCCTGCTCTAAGATTCGTCGCCATTCTGTTCAGTTTTTGGCAACATGTTGCCATCTTCTGATTTTTAATATTCGTAAGTCGGTTTCTACTCCATCTAACCACCTAATTCGCGGTAGGCCTTTGCTTCTTTTTCCTACAGGTGTTCGTGTGGTTAGCTTTTTAGCAATGGTATTTTCTGGCATTCGTATTATGTGTCCAGCCCATCTAAGTCGCTGTGTTTTAATGAACGTTATGACATCTGGCTCATCAAAGAGCTGATACAATTTAAAATTATATCTTCTTGCCTTTCCTATGCGGCACTTTATTTCCTGTACATTGCTCCACTGTTCGTTAATAATAGTTCCCAGGTAGCAATACTGCTTTACTCGCTCTATCTGCGTCCCATTAATGTATAGATGAGCCCCGTTTATATTCTCCTTGCTGATAATCATTTGTTTCGTTTTGTGGGTATGTATTAGTGTTTAGTCCGTACTGTTGACTGTACTCGTTTATTCTGTCCCTTAGCCTCTGAAGTCCCTCTAAACTATCTGCTATCACCATGGTGTCGTCGGCACATCTAACATTGTTTACTCTTTCACCATTTAGAAGGATGCCTTCGTCTATTCCGTAAAGAGCCTCGTTAAAAATTTTCTCTGAGTTCATATTAAATATCAACGGCGATAGGATACATCCCTGTCTAACTCCACGTAGTATTTTTATGTGATTTGTTTCTTCTCCGTTAATTTTCATGTATGCGTTCTGATTCCAGTAGAGTTCTGAAATTATTCTGAGGTCTTTGTCATCCAAGTCTGCCTCTTTTAAAATGTTTATCATCTTTTGATGTTGAACTCTGTCAAATGCCTTTTCGTAGTCGATCAAGCACGCATATACGTCGCAGTTAACGTCCCTGCATATTTCAATCAGTACCTGTACTCCGAAAAGTGCCTCTCTGGTACCCACTGCGTTAATGAAGCCGAACTGTCTGTCCGATATTTGTTCCTCGTGACTTTAATCTTTAATTGTGGCTTATTCCCATTTAAATAGTAATTACTTTAAAATGCCACAAGAAAATAGCTTTAGAATAACAGTTCTATAAAAGACTTTTATGAATGTAACTATTTGATATACACGTGCGTAATGTAGGATCATCATAAGTATATTCCTTCATAAAATGTCAATGTAAAAAGGGAGCAAGTCAAGTTGCTTCATTCATCTTTGACTCTATTTACAATAAATTACGTACCGTTAGATGTAGAAAAATTCTGAGCATGGCAGAAGAACGAGCAGTCATTTGTATCTAAGAAATGTCCACCCGTTTGACTCTCGGATCTAAATTAAGGCCAATATGCCTGCTTATTTAATTTTAAAAAGAATACAACTGTTGCCTGATTGCTATCGAAGAACTATCTATGACCAACACATATTCTTATCTGAGACAGGTAGTACAATAACATCTTTAAAAATGAATTACTTGTTCGTCGTAGATAAAATATAGTATGCAACTCGTTACGGTTTCTACACATCTGTCATATGTTTCCATATGTCTATCATGCTTGTGTCATATCCCAGCGTCGGTGTAGTTTTGTTCGTACATTAGCTACTTTAAATAATGACAATTAACAGACCGACAGTTAAAAATAGTTCCGGTCCTGGCTAAGGTTCATACTTAGTATGAACCTTCATACTTAGTATGAACCTTAGCCGACTAAGGTCGGACCTTAGAGTCAACCTGTCTGGCGTCTGGCGGCCTGTCTTGCCCAAACGGCCCATACTCTACTTGGCAAAATGTAACAATTTTGGTTTTAACCAATATTTATCAAAATTAACATTGTATTTCTAACTCCAATCTAAAATGTCTAATTTTAGCCATTTAGCGGAAGGTCGTTTATTCATGATTTCACTATGGGTGTGTTGTCCATTGCAATCAAAGATGGGTGTTCTCTATAAGAAAATAATTGTGTAATTGTACTTCTCTCTCTTCTCTCTTTAATCCTGAACCCCCAGGGGGAGTGTAGTGGTCGACGTGATCTCGTGTATTGTCCGTCTCCAGAGGTCTCTGTCTCTGGTCATTTCTTTTAATTCATGCATAGGTCTTTGGCATATTCCTGTAATTTGATCTATCCATCTTGTTGGAGATCTTCCTCGTGATCTTCGGCCTTCTACCTTTTCTTGTATTATGAGTCTTTCCATGTTTTCTGTGTTTGCTCTCATAATATGCCCAAAATATTTTAATTGTTGGAGATGGACTTTTACTAGAGAGTCGTTGGCTAACTTTTAGCTCTCTTAAAATTGAATTATTTTTTCTGCGGTCGGTCCAAGGAATTCGTAACATTCGTCTCCAACAGAACATTTCAGTGGCGTCTATCTTTCTTCTCTCCGATTGTCTCAGAGTCCAAGATTCACATCCGTAGGTCAGTATTGGGAATATTAAGCAGTTGATCAACCTCATCTTTATCGCTCTTGAAATTTGACAATCCTTCCATATTTTGGTCATTTTTGCTGTGGCAACTTTTGCTAGATCAGATCTACGTTTAATCTCTTCTTGTAATGACCCTGTGTTTGTGATTAATGATCCCAGATATAAGTATGAGCTCACAACCTCGAACCGGTCAATTGTGGTTATGTGTGGATGATTGTTGTGTAGTCTATCCACTATCATGATCTTTGTCTTTGATAAGTTTAATTGCAGACCAAATATTTGATTTTCGTTATCGATCAGTCGTATAAGTTCTATCAGCTCTGCTTGACTATTTGCAAGAAGGGCTGTGTCATCTGCGAAACGTAGGTTGTTTAGTTTATGACCATTTATTGAGATGCCCTTTTCCCATCCTTCAAGTGCTCTTCGCATAATATACTCCCCATATATGTTGAATAATTGTGGAGATAGTATACATCCTTGTTTGACACCCAATTCTGGATGAAATTCGTTCGAGAGTGTGTCAAGTACTTTAACTGATCCAGTAGTGTGTTCATATAGTTCGGTTATAAGCGTAATTAGATGTTGTGGAACGCCTACTTCTTTTAGTATTCGCCATAAGTGTCTCCACTTGACCCTGTCGAACGTTTTACGGTAATCTATAAAACAGATGTATAGTGGGATGTTGAATTCCCTAGATTTCTCGATTATCTGTCTTATATTCAGCAGGTGTTCTCGAGTGCCTCTACCTTTGGTAAATCCAGTTTGCTCTTGTGGAATTTCTCTTTGAAGGAATGTTTTCAGTCTCTCATTGATTATATGTAGCATTATCTTGCTGGCATGGGATATAAGAGAGATAGTTCTATAATTGTCGCATTTATGGAAGCTGCCTTTTTTATGTATGGTCGTTATTGTAGATTTTGTCCAGTCTTCAGGCCATTGTTTGGAATGCCATATTTGGTTTCAGAGTAGATGTACTTATTCATTTGGAAATTATTAAACTATTTATTTCACCGTGATAATCTGCATTTACATATTTATAACAAAATATCAAACTGGCGTCTAAAATTAAACCTTTTGCTGAACCGGCATGAACCAGAGTAAACCTTTTTCCATCATAACCGCCTGGTTAACGTACTCTTCTGCTGTTGTCATCCTGCCACAGCATTTTATTTCTCCTAAAAAAGTGCTATGTTTTCTCCGCCGTGCTTTATGGTGTTGAAGCCTGGACAATGACAGAAGCAACACAAAAAAGAATCAAAGCATTCGAACTCTAGTGTTACCGTAAAATGCTCAACATATCCTACATGAGCCATACGACAAATGCGGAAGTCTTGCGGAG